TGGGACTCTTGTTATAAAATATGTTTGTAGAGGCTCTGCACCTCTCGTGCGTCTACCGTTGGTGCTGCGATAGATGACGTTCGTTCACGAGAGGGCAAGACATTTGTGTACCCTAGAATTCCCCCAGGTAAATGTGTGTGTGTCCTTTGTATGTCATTACGTTGCAAGCCAGGGATGCTGCCTAGGACGTTATGTTCTTCCTGTGGCTGTCCTAGCTTTGCTCTCCCGTCGGCCATTGCTTGTCCACTGGAAGTGGGTTGTTTGCGGCGTTTTACGTTGCCGCGGTGCATACTTCGCTGGAACACGGTAGTAGCACGGCACGCGCGCGTTACGTTCAGCAGGGGACGGGGAGAAAGGAGTCGCTTGTTTCTCGGAGCTTTCGTTTCGTTGAATTACCACTTTCCCGCGGTTGTAATGTGCGGGATACGTTGCCTTCGTACGTGTGTCCTGTTCCCCTTTAGTTTTCGCCCGCACGTTTTGTGTAGACACGTTGTTCGAGAAGTCGTTGGCCGTCACAAATTGGTTGGGTTTTGTATTTGGCGCATCCCCACGCGTACCCAATTCCCCGCGGTCATGTTCGAAGCACCACGTACATACCTGGACAGGCGTTGCTTTTGGTTTTGGAGGGCGGAATCGCGATCTTTTGCGCTTAGTTTGGACTCTTAAGGTTATCGCCAAAAATAAGCTGCTCAAGTTTTATGCCGTTCGAAAATCAGACAAGAATGTCCATTGAACGCCGGGATGGTTGTTGTCACTTGTTGCGCTCCATGGTGGCACAAGCACGGATGTTCGGGCGGTCGTGGTATTCCTCCAGTATTGCTAGTGAGGGGAGTTGTGGTTACCTCCCCCCGACGTGCCCCCCGAGAAAGTATTTGTGCTGAACCGCTGATGCCCCCTCGCTTCTCTAGTTCTGGTATATTGGAGCACCGCACGGAGATGGGGAGTAAAAACGCCGTCTAGTTAAAAGTTTCTGGTAAATGAAGCTCGGAGGATGTCAAATATCCGGCGCATCAGTGATGTAGGTATGGGCCATACACAATACACGTGCGGTGGAAACCTGTGCGGCATGTCTAAAAAGGTGGGGTTGATTTCGAAGACACCCGACGGAAGGTCGGCAGACGCTTCCGATATTTGAGTCAAGTCGAAGCTGGGCTGTTCGCCGCAGCGGTTCATCCAGTTGGTAACAAGGAAACCTTCTGAAGTAGGCACGTCGGAATGCGAATCTCGGTTAGGTTGCTTGTACATGAACCAAAGCGATGGCCATTGATAGCTTGGTGTGCACAAGGTTTGGCTTCGACAATCGAAGGGCAAGTTTGCGCAAAGCGCCACCAAGGAAGGTTCGCGATTAGAAATAAAAATCCTGTTTCAACGCGTTACTCCTGGGTGCGACCCGGACGTTTTTGGTCCAAAAACATCTCGCTTTCGTCCAGAATAGAACAACATTCGAGAAATACAGCGTTGATGATGTTGTCTGGTACCGAACCTGGAAAAGTTCGACGGACTTCTTGGGAGGGTACACGGAGCATGTCTCCGAATCACAGGCAAAGGGAGGCGATGAAACGCCACGGATTTGGTTTTCTTGGGCAGAAAAAGTCAACTCTGTAGAGCATATCAGAGACCTTCATGTGATCAAATCTTGTCGCCGGCATGTACGGTGATGTGACTCATGTGGTCTATGACCCTGTCGAGTCGGTCACAGCAGGAAGTACACAAATCTCTCTGATTCTACACGTAAGATCGGCACCAAAAAGGTCAATTGAGTCGCGCCAAGCCACCAAAGGCCCAAACCCGGGAGCTACGCATGCATGCCTGATGGACGATAAACTCTGGACCGGCCAGCCTTATCTACACACACACACACACCGGTCTTTTGGGATGGGCGGAGAAGTGGCGAGGGCCGCTGAACACCTACGTGGTTTTCCGCGCAGCTCCACAATCATTAATCACATTGCTGCCCCCTCACCTCCGCATTTTGCCATCATGTTTGTTCCCCCACTCTCACCTCCACGCTGGGCCCAAAGCCGGGACAAATGGATGAGGCGAGGGGGCGAAAACGCTTCAGTCTCATCCAAACCCAAATGTCTACGTACCCGCCCGCCTTCTTCCTCCTCACATCAAAGGATAGCTGGCCACCGGCAGCAAAGCATCGCTACCAACACCACGACCAACAACAACGGCAACAACAGGAACAGCAGCAAAAGCAACAATGTCGAGGGTCTACCACATGTAGAATAGTCTAGCCTCGCCTACATCGAGATTCACAAAACATTCTAGTGGAGGAGAGAGAAACATGATGATGACTTGACGACCTTTCGCAAGTGGTGTGGTAGACGATGCAGTGCGTTTGGCTGCGCGAGTGACGTGTGTGCCTCCCAGGGTTGTTGCTCCATCGCTTTGCCTCCTACCGCTATTGGTTTAATATTCTACCGCATCGACCAGAGGAGCTTCACACCGAGCAACGGCTTGCCGACCACGGGGGCTTCTTCGCACATCGTCGACATCGCCAACATCGCCAACAACAACGACACTGCTAAAACCCTTGTCGTCGCCAACCGTTTCAACCACGACCTCCCCCACACCCCCACCCCCCTCCTCCCGAAATGCACAAGCGGTGATACCGAAAACAAGAATTTCTCCTCCGACGGCCCCCGCAAGCACGGACAAGCGCAGAATACGCCCGGCGTTGCTCTAAAATCCCAAATGAGAGCACGGCATCCTCGGAGGCACGAGAAGACTGACTGAAGGCGAGCGGCATGCACTTCTGGTTGGTTGTTTCGATCCGGGTTGGTCGTACCTCTCGCGGGAATGGAGAAGAGAGGTTCAAAACAAGTCAACAGCTTTCTCTTTTGTCGCGCGATCAACTCTTCTTCTTTCTTTCGATTGTGGGAGTAAGCAGCTCGTTCCGGCCCCTCTCTCCCTCATGCCCCCGCTGCCGAGAACTAATGCTGGCTCCAATCCATTCCGCAGCCCCCGAGTCCATCCTTGCCATCCGATCACAGGGCAGTCCCCGTCCAAGGACATCCCATCCAACAGACACACCAAGGGCGGGGGGCGGGCGCGGCGAGGGTTGGAACAGACGCCTATTCCCGGCCCTATTCCCGGCCCAATCCTCGTACACGGATGGCACCTACGCACCGGACGTGTGAAGGAGTATCGTTCAGAAGAAACTGAAGTCCGAGTCACCAACGAGCGTGTTGTCGGTCCAGAGGTCGTACTCCTTGTTGGAAGGCCGCGGCGAGCGAGGGCGGTGGCGGGGCGACTTACTCCTAGACTTGGAGCTCCCCTTCCTGCCGCTAGCCGGGCCTCCTCCTCCTCCTGCTCCTCCTGCTCCTCCTCGTCCAGCGCTGGAAGAGCGGCGGCGCTGCTCGCGGCGGTGGTCTTCCTCGGCGCCACGCCTGCTGCCGGGGATGCGACTGCTGCTACTGCCGCTGCCGCTGCCGCTGCCGCTGCCGCTGCCGCTGTTGCTGGTGGCGTCGGGCTTGGAGGAGGCCCGGGCCGAGGATGCAGAAGAAGTGTCCTTCTTTTCGTGCCTACCGCCTCCGCTGCCGCCGTCTCTGCGTTTCCTCGAAGACAAGGAGAAAGTCTTCTTGCGGCTCTTCCCATTGGGTTAGTCGATAGGGGCAGCACAAGTAAGGAGAAGAATGGAGGGCGGTGGGCGGAGGGCATGTACGCCATGTGAGCGGTCTTGTTTGCACAGAGAACACGCTAGCACTTGATCGATTGGCCTCTTGATGAGCCGTCTTAACCTTCCACGGAGATACACACTGTAGAATCACAACTTGGCACGGTGGCACGCCACACCACACATCTCCACGTCAGCCTCATAACCGTTTTTTCCTACAATAACACTCAGATGAGAATCCATCGGCACCCCCGTATCCCGTTCCCAACGCGACCAGGAATCAGGAGTAGGTAGGCATACGCGTACCCCCCACCCTCGATTGGCAATCTTTGTTTCAGCCATCAACTCAGCAGTTGGTGACCCTCCGTACGAGAAGAAGGTGAGGTGGGCACCGGGCCATGCGGCGAGCATCGAGGATAAGGTCGCGAAACACCAGAAGAGTGTGACATGTCCGTATCAGACAAACCGGCAATACTGCGCGCAAATCAACCTCAACCGCATACCAGCACTGCCGAAAAACACTCAAATAGACTCTCGTCGTCATCATAATCACCGGGAGGCGCACCTATCGAACCCTATCGTTACACGACGCATGCCCTACGCTGCTCTTGCCAAGCGCATGTTTCTGAGCTACCGGCACAAAAAAAAAGGTCAGCTAGCTCACCCCAGCCGCTTGCGCCGTGCTCTTCGAGGCTTGCTGGCGGCGCGTGGGAGGGTCCTTGGAGAGGGAGCGGCTCGATTTCTTCTTCGGCGGCATAGCTGCCTCCGCGGACTGGTGGTTGTCGGAGCGGCTCCGCCGGGCGGCAGGTTCGACAATCGTGTTCACCTTTGGAGGTTGAGTGCAAGGAGCAGGAGGTGAGACCTTGAGCATCAAGCGCTAACCGGAAAGCAAGCAAGCAAGTGTGTTCCGTTTTCTCCCTCATTTTCTTCTCGCGATGCCGCGGGTTTGTCCGGAAGTATGTGCACAGCTTCCACCACCGACGACATCGTGCTTTCGGTTTATTGTAGGACCATACGAAGGACAAATCAGAAGACGTTTAGTCGATCAAGAAATCGCCCCAGAAAGTCTGCTCTAGCACACTACCGGTACGCGGGGAGTACGTACTGGACGTTAAGCTGTATATCGTGATCACGATGTTCCTTATTACCTAGGGGGATCCATTCAACAACACTCCGCCGAAACTTTCTCCGTCAAACCATCACTCCCACGCACAAACGTTAACCTTCAAATCGGCCACGACACCGGCTGGCGGCACGATACAACAAAAGTAGAACGGTATTGGGATATCTTCATGCAACGAGACATCATAAACACCATACAGACAGCTGTGAACCCACTCGTTACGCTAGAACATGCCGCAGCCAGTCTCGGCATCCGACCTCCGGCCACCCAGAACAACAACAACGCCTGCCAAGACGGAATGTACTACCGAAAGCCCAAAACGAACGAAACTTACCTCCTTATCTGCAGAGAGGTGCCGGGACCGACCACTCGTAGCACCACCACCAGCGCCTCCGCCGAGCCCGAAAGTCTGAGCGGAACCGCGGGCGACTTGGCGTACCTCCAGCCAGTCAGAGGCTCTGGCGGCGGCGGCGGGTTGACCGGTGGCAGCCTTGGAGAGGCTCCGTGCCGGGGTTCGTCCTCCGTAGGGCGGCGCATAGTGTCCAGACGCTGACGACGGGGGGTTGCTGGGGCGAGTCTCAGGAGTGGCGAAGCGTGGTGCGGGTGGTTCCGCTTTGGCGGCTTCGGCCTTGGCCGCTCGGAGGGCGGCGGCTCGAAGCGCGTCGGCTTCGGCAGCCTGAGCTGCTGTGGCTTGAGCGGCGGCGGCTTGAGCTGCGGCGACGGCTTGAGCGGCAGCCAGGGCGGTGGCCTCCTCAGCAGTAGCTTTAGCGGCCTCCTGTGCGGCAACGGCGGCTTCGGCTGCGCGGCCTGCGGTTCAAGAGGTTGTGATGTACGGGATGGGTGGAACCTGTTGTATCTATCGGTAGCTAACCGCATGTTTACGGTTGAACGCGGATTCCGTGCTCTACCGCGTGGTGAGCACATTGAAGAACTATGCTCTACGATTGCATGCATCTCCGGAAGAGGAAGAGCTGTGCGTCTTGTTGACGACAACTATTTCACGTCAACCAATAATGTGGACTGAAAGACTACAAACCCTGATCAACGAAGGTCGCACATGCAAACATGTGTCTGGATACTCGATGTTTCAACCCACACCAGGTGTTTTTCCACGTCACGTAAGACTTCCACGCGACGTCATCTCGTTAGCGCAGTTCTTGCGGGGTTACTTGTCAGACCACATGACATGCTTTCGTATCGTGACAAAGTTTGACCACGACTCCAACACCTTCGTATTGAACAATAACGTCTACGCACGATTTCAAAACAAGACGTACCGACAATTGGCGACTGCAACAAGAGCCGAAAAGTTGTGGGTTTAGACCCGCGACTTCCTCTTCCCACCACGGAAACGGTTCGCGACGCACGAGTGTTCACTCCACCACCTGGGACAAACCACCGTGGCCACTGTCCACATAGAGTGCCCGGGCCGCGCTGATAGCGGTGTCGTCCTCCCAAAGAAGAACAGACAAGAAAGTAGTTTTGTGCGGCCACGTTGTTTGATTGCCTCAACGCTTACGTTGTTCCTCTCGGCGCGCCTCCAGCTTGAGGTTCAGAGCCGCCTCCATGTTCTTGGCGGTCTCGCCCCGGGTACGTAGATCCGCCAATTCGTGCGAGGCATGGAGCACTTGGTCTCGAAGAGATGTCAGTCGAGCCTGTGGATTTTCAACATACGCACGCAGGCGCATGGACATTAGAGGCGAAGGGCTTGAGGCAGGACAACTTGTCTACTTCGGAGTATGCTCATCGGCCAACTGTGGTGTTTTCATACCCCCACAGGGTACATCGATCGGGCATTCCGGGCGAATCATTCACCCCGAGAACACCGAGCAGAGCCGACATGACCTGTGCCTCGATATCATGTCAACCTTGGCTTTGTCAACCTCACAGCTTCAAGTCCACAGGGTACATCGATCGGGCATTCCGGGCGAATCATTCACCCCGAGAACACCGAGCAGAGCCGACATGACCTGTGCCTCGATATCATGTCAACCTTGGCTTTGTCAACCTCACAGCTTCAAGTCCACAGGGTACATCGATCGGGCATTCCGGGCGAATCATTCACCCCGAGAACACCGAGCAGAGCCGACATGACCTGTGCCTCGATATCATGTCAACCTTGGCTTTGTCAACCTCACAGCTTCAAGTCCACAGGGTACATCGATCGGGCATTCCGGGCGAATCATTCACCCCGAGAACACCGAGCAGAGCCGACATGACCTGTGCCTCGATATCATGTCAACCTTGGCTTTGTCAACCTCACAGCTTCAAGTCCACAGGGTACATCGATCGGGCATTCCGGGCGAATCATTCACCCCGAGAACACCGAGCAGAGCCGACATGACCTGTGCCTCGATATCATGTCAACCTTGGCTTTGTCAATCTCACAGCTTCAAGTGGGGGTAGGTGCGGGTGGGGTTGAACCCTTCGATGGTCTCGACGACATCAACATTAATAAGAATAACAATTAGACTGGTATTCTTGATCCTGATTTATGCTCTGCATGGCGCGAAACATCGAAACTAAGTAAACGAATGTCTGCAGCAGCTAGTACTAAAGACTTCCGAGGCGGAAGAGGCGTGGAAACGCCGCGCATAACCGCAGCAGTAAGCCGGTTCAAAGCTGGAGATCGTGTGCACCACGTTCATGCCCGTTCACAGCGACTAGGCGATCGGCTCCGTCCCCCGAAACGCCGACCATTGGTCACCTCTGTCCCGCCAAGAACTGCGTTCAGCTTAGCAGTGAAATTATGACGGAGACATATGTCCCTGACTTAGATCGAACAAGGACAGAGTCGAACATACGTAGGCGGTGTTGCTGCTGGGGTTTCCACCCTTGACCCGACAGTCCCAGCGGTCTCGACATGACAGCCACAAGGTACGGGGTGACAACTTACCACGTCTCCCGAAAGATGGTTCGGCGTTCATCTGGTTGAACCGCTATGGGACACAGGAGGGGGACAGTCAGGCGCTCCACGGAACAACAACAGAGTAATGAGAGAGTGTCAGAGAGAAGGACCTAGAAATGAGAGAAAAAAGCACTTCATTCCGCGCTCAACCATCAAACAGACAGACACCACAGATGCGCGAGACACGCTTACTCGCTCTTTCCCCACACAGCTCCCTCCATCTGAAGCCGGCTATCTTCTGAGTGACTGCCTCAAGAATTCTCACCGCCTTTGCCTCCTTGGCTACTTTGAGCTTGGCGGCGCCACCCTCTTGGATCGTGGTGAGCGTCTCCTCGAGGTCTCGCAGCCGTTTCGCGTGAGATTCGTCCCCGCCGGCGGCGCGTGCTCTTTGGACCGCTGCCGCAGCCTCGTCTTCCACGCGCTGGCGGTCTTCCTCGCCCAGGGTAGCCGGCGGCGGGGTCCAAGCTGCCGTTTCTCGGTCGAACTTGATAACCGAAGCCTGTTGTGTTGGAGCAATGCAAAAGCGCGGAGTGGGAAGACAAGAAGGGGCGCATTTTTCCGCCCGCGAGGTTCCATGCTGGCGGCACTGGTGTACATGATGGCGTTGTGCGGTGTGGCGTTCACGGCCTTGGAGAAAGGCAACGAAGAAACCGAACGCTTCATGAGGAGGGCGGAGCGCACGAAAATGCGTTAATCTAGGCTCCCACGCATCTCCGTGGTTACCGCTGAACCATGCACGTATCTTCGGTTCGACCACTGAACACGTTTGTTGGAAGCTGAACATGGTGGATCCCCACCCCGCTCCTATGCCGACTCCGTGTGGTTTGTCGCAAAAAATGATGAGCGCCACCACGTGCGTGCGCGTTCATACCCCGCCCGTCTCGTACCAACTTACCATGCATTTTGGATAAACATGGACTACTCAAGGTATCTGCATGTGTGCTCAACGATGCATTTTCAACCGCAAGGTACTGAAGCACTCTGCTTCAGAGACCACTCGTGGTTATTTCGACGACGCCAGTATTTCACATCAAGAATCCAACAATCAACACGCAAACCACGGTGTCGTCCAACAATATCGAAGCGACCACGGCACCTCAACCCTCGTACCATCTGAACAGCTCTATACGCATCGTGTGCTCGCAGCGCTGACAATATATAGTCGCCACCCGTAATTACACCAGGCTTGCGACGACCAACCGAGAACCGCCATAGCGTAAAGCCTACCGCCCGCGACTACCTGGCACTGTTCCAGCCGGGCGCGAGAGGCCTGCGCTTGGACCTCTGCCGCAGCCACACCCCCCTTCGCCGCTTGCAGGGCCTGTGCCTTTCTCTCCTTCTTGGCTTGAAGCCTGGCTTCCCCCTCCTGCAGACGCTTCCTGGTGTCGGCGACGAGAACCTGCTTGGCTGCGATGGATGCCGTTGCTTCGTCCAAGGCGTTCTGCGAGTCGCCTGGTCCTCTCACGACGAGGAAACCATCGTCGTCAACGACGACAACCGAATGGGTGCTGATGATGAGAAGCGAAGCGCACGGCTCCACCAGGGAAATTCAAACGAACTCGCTCATCCTGCATGGGGGTGGGAGTACTCTTGCACGCGGTGGAGCACATCGGAGGAGAACAACGGCACGATCAACAGTGAGTAGCACGCAGCAGAGCAGACAGCAAGTGGGAATTACGTACCAAAGATAAGTTCGAGCTCCTCGGCGCGGCGTCGATCCGCCTCTACGGTCGCCCTCAGCTCCGCGTTGGAGGCCCTCAGGCGGTCGCGCTTCTCGTGCAAGAGGAGCAGGTCCCTCTCGCTCTCCTCGCTCAAGGCCTTGAGTGCGCTTTCCGTCTCGGCGGCGTCGAGCTCTAGCTGGCGGTTGGCGGTCACCTGGGGAAACCAAGCCAACAGGACCAGAGAGTATGAAGGATGATGTAGGGCTAGGCCGGTGGGTCACTTCACCTCGAAAAATCAGGCGATACTCCAGGGGAAGCGAAAAACAACGCATCAGAGTCATGGGAAGCTCAAACGATGAAGCCGTCATGCCTTGAATGACCTGCTGGTGGATTTCCGAAGATATGACTCTACCGCATGAACCGGTAAGCAAGTCCTAGACGAAGAAGGTAGCCCGAGCTACATGTCGGCAAACAAGTTGGAAAGCACAAGAGCAAACAGAAAACAAAGGACAAGCTTCCCCCATTGCGGAATATCGTTGATAACGGGAGAGACAGGAATGGTTGCTGAACACTTGCGGAGAGAGAATCGTACCCCAAGCACTGAATTTGCTTGTCTTCCTCTCACCGCCTTGTCGTACTCGCGGAACACCAGCGACAGAGCCGCCATGAGGTTGCTGAACTCGGCGTTCGCCTGTTTCATTCGTTCCGACGCTTGTGCCACCGCTTCCTCCGCCTTGACAATCTCGGCATCAGCAGTTGCCAGCTGGTCCGAGAGAAGGCGAACCTCTGCATCCACTGTCTCCTGGACACACACGAAGGAAGGAGCGGGGGGAATGGACGCGAAAAGGTGGACAAGGGTGGGGCGAGAAAGAGAGAGAGGGGGTAGAAAGACGATTCTTGTCAAGGTACCTCGGGTAAAACGCAGTATTTCGGTGCTGCGGCGGATGATAAGTCTGGTCGTATAGGGGGTGCGGGGCCTGCATGCGAGAGGGGTGAGGTGATTCAGTGAAGGTCCGCGAAGGACCAACAGAGAGTGGGGTGAGATGGTTTTTCGGTATGGGCCCAGGAGGGAATCGACAGAGAGTGGCACTGTTCGCAGCGAGCGAAGAGAGGAAGGTCGCGATTGTTCCCATACGTGGTCGTGCAGAGAAGACGGTCGGATCCCATGTCGCACTTAAATCATCCGTTAGTCAAACACGCATGAATCTCGCAACGAGACCCGGGAAACCGGGATAGGCCAAGGTGTTCCCGGTCAGATAGAGCGTCACACGCTTCTTCGACAAGGGTGAAGCTAACGCCACCAGATGCGTCCAAACCTCACGGAAGATAACGGGCTGTTGAGCTGGGCTACCAGAAGCGCACTGCTGTGTGCTTAGACATCCCCTCCTAAACTTTCCCTCCCACCCTGCCACCCTCCTGTGCTTGAGTGGAGATTTGCACACAAACCCCATACTGGAGAATACACGCCGATGTGCCCTCGCCACAGCGTCAACGGGAGTAATTGGAGGCATCTGTCATTATTGGGCACTGATTGCCTTTGTGCCATTCTGCCCCCGTCGTACAAGGTTTGGAGAAGAGGGCGATCTATCCGAACATTGGTGATCGCCGGCGATCTCATGTCGGCTACGCGTACGCGCCAAACTTCAGAGAGGACCAGGAAGAACCACATAGTCAAAGTCTCGACTCCCGATCATACCCCGACTCGACCCTCCGGTTTACTCGACTCGCCTCCCGAGTTGCTCTCAAAGCCGCGATTTCCGCCCTCTTGGCCTTCTGATCCACCCGCTCTGCAACCAGCGCCTCTTGCGCGGCCTGGACCCTCTCATCGAGCTCTGTCTTGGCCCTCTCCTTGGTGGCCACCTGCTGCCTCAGCTCGGCCAGGCGGTCTTGGGCATCCTGGAGGTCTTCCGCTCGGGTTGCCTTGGCTTTGGCGATCCTGACCATGGTCTTTGTTGGTGGCGGGGGAACGGGAAAGGGGGTGTGATATTCAGGTGGGAGGCAGAAAAGTGCCCGGTGATTGTTTCAAGTAGATAATTTTCACGGCGCCTTCGGGGGAGGGAGATTCAGAATCAGGATGAGACCCAGCAAAGCGTATTCTTTACCCTACTTGCATGGCACCGCAACATAGGCACCACACACCCGAGTGGAAACCGTCGCTTTCGAGCAACATGTGTAAAACAAAGTGTGAAGGGCAAACGACAATATCAAATCGTGGGAACTTAGCGCTACCTACGGCAATGTCAGTGCAGCGACCGCACCGAGCACACGGACGTTGAGTTGTGCAAGAACGGCAGAAACACAACCCGATAAAAAAAAAGCAACCTATGTAGCAGGTATATACCTCCGCCGTGTGCTTCTTGATCGCAGCAAGGGTGTCCGCAGCCTCTCCCCCCTCCTCCTCCTTGCGGGCCAGGTCCCGCCGCAGCCCGGCGACCTCGCTCTCGAGGGCCTTGGCCTCGTCGGCCGCCTCTCCGGCCAGGGCCCTCGACCTCGACGACCTCTCCTGCTCGCCCCTCAGCAGGGCCTCGCGGTCGGCGACCGTCCGGCGCCCGGCCTCCACCGCCGCCGTGAGCCTGTCGCTCTCGCTCTGGGCCTCGGCGATCGCGCGCTCCCGCTGAAGGAGTCCGGCCTGCGCGAGGTCGAGCCAGGAGGCGGCGGTGGCGGTCTTGTTCCGGATGCACTTGTGTTCCGCCGTGAACACGACGAGGTCTGACTCTAGCGCAGCGGCCCTGGATGCTATGTGCCCCTCGTCGGCAAGGACCTGCTTGAACATAGCCTCCAGCTCGCGGAGACTGGCGTCGCCCGCCGCGTTTCGGGCGGCCCGGTGTTGTACCACGGCCTCGAGAGTGCCGTTCTCGCTCGACTCCTTCTCGAGGTGCCGTCGCAGGTCGGACAGCTGCGTGCGGTGGTCGTCGAGCACTGCCTTGAGCTCCACCGACTCCGCGCGGGCCTGGAAACAACCGCGCAGGCATCAGTTCGCACACATGGCAAACGAACGCGAGCAGGCGGCGTTGCTATGGCAACAGTAGTGGGGCACCCGCCAGGGTTAGGAGACATGCTACAGAGAGTGCGTTCCAGCACAGCAGCAAATATCTACAGCAGTGCACGTGCATTGGGCCCTTGCCTTTCCCGGACCGAAAACTGAGATGGAGGATGCAGCTTCTACTGTACCTACACTGTAGTTTACCCACGTCCTCAACGTCACGCACAGGCGCACCATTCACCATGCTCATAGCGAAGGTGCAACGGCGAGGTATCCCAGGCCGCACTCACTCGTGACCGCTCTCGGAAGTCTATACGTAGGCGTACAGCTTACCATTCTCTGAACCACTTATCTGTGCTACAGCAGTACCTCTCTCTACCATTGTGTGGGGGCAAGTGAGACGAGGCGGGCTGCCCTTCGACACGCACAATGCATACAAATCACACACCAAGATACGAGTATACTACTGAAGATCGTGCCGCTCTCTCGTTGCTTCGAGCATACATAGACTATCGTGTAGGCGTTCATTGAGCAGTAGACGGTAGTCCACAACCATGCACTCTCGTTACACGGCTGTCCGCATGACGTATTGCACAGGAATGCAGCATTTCAAATTTGTAAGGATGGGGGCGTGCAATTTGATCTGCTGCAATTGTGACTCAAGGCGATTGGATTCCGTGCCCTCCACTGCCTCCAGCGAAACCCCGCTTCTCTTCACTTTTCAGAGAAAATTGCGGCGGGAACGCAATTTCTTGTGTCCATCATGTACCGTAGAATACGAGACTTACAGTCACTTTGTTGGCACAACCACAAGACTCGAAGACACCGGCATACTCTACTCAAACACCAAACACCCCCACCAAGACCTGCTAGCACCCATACGCTCAATAAGAACTCTCTGATGTGTACGTGCCTGAGAGTACTCCAGCTCGAAAGCTTGCACGACTTCTCTGACGCTGTCCACGAGGTGAACCGTGGCGCGGGCGTTTGAAATTTTCGACTTCTTGGCAGTGCGCCTCTGAATTGGCGTGGCTGCTGGCATGACGGGGACGACAGCGCTCTCCACCCTCGACGATATCCCCCATGTCTTCGTCTTGGGCACCGTGATGGACGACATTGGTGCACAGGTGTGATGTTGTGCCGCACGATTGACTTTTTCACAGTTCGGGCAGCGCCGAGCTGCGAGAGACAGCGGGGGGGGGGAAGAAACACCTGTGTACACGCACAAGAGCTCTAGCTTGTTGGGTGCACGAACACACCCAGATGGTATCTGAGCACTTTGCCATCCGCTGCTGTGGCCTGCTGGTGTCTTCTAGGAGCGGTGGGGAAGGGTTTCACAAGTCGTCGAGGCGGGGAAGGGCAGGGGACACGACGGTACCACGGAGTGAAAGAGTAAATATGCGAAACCATGTCCCTCTCACATGGGTAGCGTGGCATATCATTCTCGGAGGGAGGCAAGTACGCAATGCGGCTCGTTGGGGGGAAGTCGGCGCCGCGGTAAGCCATACGTCGAGCCGTTTTGACCCGTCAACATCATCTTTGCGTACGAGAATAGCCATGCAGCACCGCCGTTGCGTGGACATTATTTTATTATTATCGCTGCCGGACCCTCCTTCCGTCTTCCGCGCCACAACGATGCGCTGTGTATGAAAGTGGACTAAACTGTTGCCATTTTTGTGGAAATTCACTCACCGATCGCGAGACTGGTGGCGTCGTCTCGCGTGGTTGGTTGGTGTCGTACGCGCCCAATTTGATAGGGGGTATCTACTTGTAGAGCAGTACGCACTGCAGACGTCGAAACCCACGAACGCAGCAGTGCGAAGAAACGAGCAGTGAAATTGAGAGAAAGTGAAACCCGTAATTTCATATATATGCGTCGGCGATCATACAGCCTTTTCGCACGGAATGCATACCACAACCCAAGTGGTACGTTGACATTCTGCTACATCGCTCGCCTACGTAACCGCCTCTCGGGGACAGCTCAAACAGTGAAACGACGCCTCGGTCATACGGCAGTGTTACAGAATCGGCCATGGGTTTACTGATTAAACCAACCGAATGATGGGGGTAACTTGGTTCAAAGCCTCTTTTTGCAGATTTCACTGCGTAGGGAATGCTCCCTGAAACACGCGGCTGAAAACCTACTACCGCACATCATTGCCCTGGCCTAGGCCAAGAAGCTCTGCAAGGAAAAATCAACACCTTCACTCTTTCATTGCATGCGTGTGATCCGGCTAAAGTCTACACATAAGAAGCGTACGCGCCGTGCCAAGGCGCGCTGTCTTCCACGTCGCGTGTACTCCTGAAAGCACCCACCGCTCCCAGACGTTTGCAAAAATAGAATGACTACTACAAGCGAGACTTGAAACTGATGTTCGCCACAAACCTGTGAAAACTAGCAATAAAAAATCTTTGATAATTGGTAGCTTTCATACATGAACATGCCAAACCAAACAGGATAAATCTTCACCGGCATGCATTGGCGGGACGAAGAGGAGTGAGTGGCTACGGTGTGATGTCGACATACATTCTTCTGCATCCCCTCCGGCAAACAACCGTCACCGTTCACGAAGGCAAACACAAACTCAGCACCAACGACGACGATATCGACAGAAATATACCCACCTGTGCGACAAGAAAACACGCCATCATACATGGCAACTCCCGCAAAAGCGCGAATCGAATCCCCGTGGCAATTACCGATTTGCGGATCTCTCGCAAAGAGATGTGCCATTCATGCGGTTTCATCACCTAGACAATCATCACAATTTCCAAGTGTCAAAATCAAAGTGAGGGACACCAACATTCCAGAGCAGGTGCAAGACTCTTCCAACGAAGTATCAACGGGATCCCGCGGGACGCGCGGTGCTGCCGCTATCTTTGAGCATCGCTTCCGCCTGGGCGAGCCTGCGTATTGCCACGCTGACACAGCGGTGGAATCGAGGCAAGCCATGCAGATGTCCAGTCGGGTTGTCACCAGAGCGAGGTGCGGCACAAACAAGGCGGCGGGACAGACGGACAACAGCTGGAGTGAATGAACGTGATATTATATAATAGCATCGAGCACAGTGAAAAACCTGACGACCAACAGATAAGTATATTTTATTTGTGATTGACAATCGACACATAGGATTCCCTCTGTATGGCAATGCTGGACAATACACACGTTGATGATGTTGGTGAGGCAGCAGGGAGAGATGGCACTGGTGCTTGTTGGTTTGTGAGGAAGCCAGCGAAACATGGCATATCGCCCAACGCATTCTCAAGAACCTCAAGAACAAGCGCATTCCATCACTATTAAGAGGTGCGGACTGCGGGATAAATGACCTCCCGAGTATAGATTTTCCGACCCTAGCGGCCCAATGGGCTTCAATATTTCTGCCTCGGTCCCCTGGGCGACAGGCTTACATGACAAACGACTGGATTCTTGCCACACCCATCGACATTCTTTGATACGGTCGCAGCTGCGTGGGCCATTTGTCGGGATGTGCGGCGCTACGCCTACCCCACAAACACCGGAATCTTGGTGCGTATCTTTCAGTGAAAGAAAGCATAGAATATGTGCCCACGTGTAGGTTGATTTGCTTGTCTTCGGTCACCTCGAACAACACCACGCCACCTCGAACCTCAGCGTTTCCTTCGCAACGTGGGTTCACCAGCAAACAATTGTTTTCTTGCATGTCCATGGCCTCTCACTCGACCGTACAACAGCAGCAGCGATTCGCTTGCTTCCATGCTCATCCATCCAGCTACTCAAGAAAAGCTGCTGTCGGTAGATTGCCGGCCCTACCACTACCACTTCATCCACCAACCACTCACGTGAGTCTCAAAGGGACCGGGTCGCACGGGCCGTGTTGGAGGACTGGCTCGTCCCCGTCTGTTTGGAGCGAGAATCCCGCCGCCGTCATCACCTGCCCGATTTTGATTGGATGCGCACGTGCATGTCAACATGTACTGCAGCGAGCGCATCGTTCTTCTCTGTGTCGAGCGAGGGGGGTCATGCTTCCTGCATTATCGTTAGTGTTGAACGCCCTTGCTCAACGTGGAACAACCGCGAAAAATACCGCTTTAATATTGCTCTGCGTGTAGCGCGGGTGTGGGTCTCTGTCGTAGGCTACCAACGCAAAGGCTGAACCCGCTTCCTCGAGTGCGCGGGTGGGCGTCTATAAGTCTCGGCCTGCTGAGTTTATATCACGTCGTGGAATAAAATACCGCACCGACAAATGCTTACATTGTCACCGCAAGTGCAAACATGTAAAATCAGAAAGAAACTGGCTGACTGGCCGACTGGCCGACTGACCGACCTCGAGTCCTCCGTCAATGCCGCCAACTTTGGAGTTAAAGTTGGCGTTGCCGAGGCGGATCCTCTTGAACTTGTCCTCGGACGACTTGGCCGTCATGTTCTTCATCAACTTGAGCATAGTTGTGACGGCAGTCAACGACACCCCCGGTTCCTGTGTCAGAAAGAAGCAATGTGGAGATCAGGCCAAAGGCATGATAGAAACAGGTCGATGCGGGCACATGCTGTTCTACCTCACATGACCGTCAAATGGTGAGAAAAGAGCCATCCGTCAGTGACGTGGGTCGATTCTGACAGGGCACACAAACAATGCAGTACACAATTGGAAGTGTTAGGAAGGTGACCGAAAACGGCGAACGGTGCCACGCCTTACGATGCTTCACTTCTGCAAACAACGTCAATTGTGCAGATTGCCACGTGTGCCTCGCCGGGGGAACAAGCGAAAAAAACGACGATCAACACCATGGCAAACCGTCATCACCTAAAAAAACACAACGGACAGAAGACACATCACCATCAATCAATCAATCAATGACGACGCCAACACAAACACAGCACAGACACATGCAGAAACATAGCTGCGCCAACTAGTAGGCCGCAGCACAGGCCAACAGTCCCTTCACTTCCCCGTCAAACACTCTGGCACCCAACAAACACGCCCCCCACCACCCGCCGACACACCTGCGCCAAAACTGCTCCTAACGCCCCCTCAATTTCTGCCGCGACAGCGTCCGCCATGGCAGCTTCCTCTCCAATCCATTCCTCCTCCTCTGCCAGTTCTCCGGTTGCCGCCGCTGCCGATGGTGGTGTTGTTGCTTGTCTGCCGGGAGGCGGTGGAGATGTAAGAGGCGCCCCAGCCCCTGAATCCCCGGCCCCAGAAATAGCCGCCCGTGCCGCCTGCAAAACCAAAACGAAAGAAAGTCATGAATGTTGCGCGCGCCATACGAAACGACGTCGATCTGCCCGCTGCCGCAAGTATCGAGAGGCGCACAGGTCTGCAGCTGCCACGCGCACGCACGCGAGGCGTACGAGAGTGCCGGCCTAGGAAGGCAGAAAACAGGGTGATTCACCGTGGGGGGACGCGCTGGTTGAAGTCTTGGGCCGGTGACCGCAACCAAAAAGAACAAGGGCAAGCTGGTTGCGTTCATCCACACACACGCCTCTCTCTCTCTCTCTCTCTCTCTCTCTCTCTCTCTCTCTCTCTCTCTGCCCATCGTCAACGAGCGTAATTGTGCCAATACCTGTCATGCCATCACCTGCCTGTTTGTCGCTCTGTCTGCGTATCCATCCATCCATCTCACCGTGTTTCCCATAAGACGGGCCTCGTACGGGTTGTAACCCATGCTAGCCGCCGTCCTAGCTTCCTGCTGCTTCGCGAGCTCGACCATGCGCCTAGTTTCGGCATTGCCCGAATCTTCGAATTGGTTTTCGGTCACCTGTGTATGTTTTCGTACAATGAACACACGCGCGCCAAATCCCGACGTTTCTTGCGTTGATTCGATTGGACCTCGTCCTTTCGACGACATATTGTGTTGCTGCTTGAACAGTAGTTCTTGAGCGCCGTTCCTATGCCTACTGCCTATTGTTTGGCTTTGAGTCGAGCTTGTGGTCCGGGAGTCACTTGCAAGCGTTCTCATATTAGGCGCGGACCACGAACTCATTTCATTTCGTGCATACAAGGGTGCGCGCAATCGTTTGCCGGTCGTGTCCAACGAGGGCTTCCATGGCGAACAACGTTACATGAAGGATCGAGATCAAGCGGTGAACATGAACAGCTGGTCGACTTGCTAAAGTGTGACGAAGATCCCTTGAAAGGAAGGTGGCCTTTGGAGCTAGACCTGTGCCTCGGGCATCGCGAGATCGGGACACCTGATTCATTACTGCATGGTGTGCGAAAGAAATGAAAACACACGGCATGAACGGACGTTGCCGTTTGCTTTTCAAGAAATTGCGTTCACTTGCCCCATCAATCTCATTTGGAGGCAGGTCGCACCAGGCACCTTAGTCTAAAAAATTATCCCCACCAACAGTGGAAAACAGCAACAACATCGGTGCGGCGTGCAAATGCTGTGATACAATCCAGTTCAATGATTTGGTGCCTTCGTTGTTAACTAGAAAACCACGAAGGGAGAATGTCGACAAAGGCGGTAATAACCCGCATCGCATCGTCGAACAGCACCGCTCTCACTCCACCGGTCCGAGACTTGGTCTGTGACGCCTGGCGCCCCTTGTTGAGTCGCTTGTCCCAGTCCTTGGTTCGAGACTCGGCCGCCTTCAGCGCGGCTTCTCTCCGCTCTGCCTTCGCCTCGGCTGTCATCGGCGGTGGCTGACATTTCGGGGCGGGGAGATGGGGGCATGGCAAAACAAGGTGACCTCAATCAACGACGACAGTCAACATGTACAAACACGGAGGCGGGGACAACATCCGACCACAGCAACAACGAGGTCTGAAACAAAAGCGGCACGACGGGGAGGATGCAATCACCGACCACGACAACAACACCAGCAACAACAAGCGCACGGCGATCGCAACGGCCGGGGAACGCAAGGGGAGTCCCCTCCAACCTGCCGAGTTTTACGCATCCGCTGACCTAGGAAATACCCGCAGGTCAAGATGTAGTCCCCAAGGCCTCCCAACCACCGCAAACCCCGCCACGTCGCCAACTCCACCTTTGGGCAGATCGTAAAGGACGATCAAGGTCGATCAATTGATCTAAGGGCAACATCAGTACTTCGAGCAGTCAAAACGCACGCACACCTCCCAGGCATCCCGGCCCCCTACGACCTCCTCCTTACTTGTGGCGGACCCTTAATCTCGTCCATCTTCCGCCTAGCAGCGTCTTGCGCGCGCTGAAAGGGCCCCGGTTCCTGGGCCCTCGCCCCGGCACCTTTCGCCTCCTTCCCGCCGCCACCCGACCTGTGAAACTCGATCACCACAGGTCGGCCGACCGCACGGATGATGTCGACCAGGTCTTCGTGGGCGGCGGGGGACACGTTCCTGTCGATGGCTGCTATGGTGTCGTTCACGCGCACGCCGGCCTTTGCTGCCGCTCCGCCGTTGGTCACTGGTGATTGGTCACGAAGCGGACATCGGCGGCGGCGGCAACGGCGAGCGAACCACGATGGTGGGGGTGTGTCGTCGGTTTCGTCGCGCGACCGACTCCAGAATGGTTCATCCCCATCTTGTTTCGCTACCACAATTGCCCCGCCAAACCGCACCGGAAGTTAGTCCCCGTGTTCTCCTTGTATTCGGCTACATAGTATCCGTCATTTGAGCACCAGGGGACGTATCCGGGACGTGGAACGAACCGAAGGACATGGATATCCCAACGCGAGGCTCAGGGATGGGGCCGTCGGGTAGTGCTCTCTCCGGGTGCAAGAACAAACTCGAGTCCTCGACGAAGATACGCGAGTTCGTGCAAACTGTCGCTAGAAAACAGCTTCTTAAGAAAACCGTGGAGGGTTCGTAATCCACACGGCACAAGATTCATGTGACGGTTGAACCCAGGTACAACGAGCACCAGGCCGGTTGCACCCAAGCGACGGCGCGCGCCGACGTCGTTTGGGCCGCACGGCGCCATCATAGCCTGGAATGGCGCAGGTTGCTGCTTGCTGCGTTAACACACACGAAAACATGGTGCGGTTAGTCTGCCCACCATGCTACTGCAGCACGGACGTAGAGGGGTTTGCGCAGCAGAGTAGGTCTTTCGGCCGAGAATAAAGATGAAAACAATTTCCAGGCTTGAAACTCGGAGCTCTCGGGATTGTTGCGGGCACGATCTACCTTGACATTGAGAGGAGGAACACAACGCCTGACACTTTCCAAGGAAAAACGTTGAACAAGGCGCACCTACTTCAGCGTAACATACTGAGAGCATGTGCGCATAACGCTGTGCGGAGTTAAAGTTTTGGCGAAAAGAACGTGCTGGGGAACACGCCAGGGGTTCGGGCAAACTCTCTTGCGGCCTCGCGCCATGTCGCCCGAAAAGAAAGATGTGCACGCCCGATTGTTTATTGGCTGTTGGCTAGCTGCGCAAAAAGTCACATGGCAGTGCAAGAACACAGCAAACCGTCCTCCTCTTCGCCCGCAGCCGCCTGCCGCAACACTCTGGTTGCCAGGTTATTGCTGTTTCTCGATTGCGCACCTCCGGTGACCCGAGACTCTCCGTTCGGGCCTGGCGATAACGAAATGCCCAGATGCTGCTCCACGAAGGTCACCTCGAAGCTCTTCGGCTTGTCATCAGCCCCAAAGCTTTCCTTTAGCTTGTCCAAAAGTCCCATCGCGTGGCCACCAGCGAGAGGGACGGACAGTGAAGGTGGGTTGGTGTGATGCGCTGTGTCCTATGTTCGTAAAGTGCAGGGAAGAGAGAGCGGGAGGAAATGCGGCGGAATATCGAAAGTTCCTGTCCGTGCAGCCCCATCACCTCTCCGAGCTGCTGCTTGTAGCACGGCGCTCACAGCAGGCAGCGCACAGCTCCCTTTATCTACCATGGCTACGGAGGATCAGGTGTGCGTTAAAAAATGTCCAGAGGATCAGTCGCTTGTTCGTCGTAGAGAGTGAGGTGCTTCGTGCCAGTCAAACAGAAAAACAGCTGCGGATTGGCGGATGTGTCCCGCCCGTACTGGTCGCTACCTGCGAAGGTGCTCCGTACAAAAGCCTTTTGCTACCTGCTTGTCACATACTGGAAGGTCCTCGGGCTTGTGCTGGCCGTACTATTGATTCGAGCGCTTTGACTTCTCACTGCAGTCTGTGCTTGCATCAGTGAACCTTCAGCTTCACGTGCTATTGGGCCGGTGTCCTTTAGGGCCGGTGTCTGAAGCAAGAACACCGATCTGCAAGAACTCTACGGTTACGGGCTACCCCCCATCCGAATGTACTCCTATTCCACAAGTACATTGTAACGCACGGCGGTACCCAACGGCTGTGTGTCCGGGAACACGTCTTGCGACGTTGAGAGCCTTACAATTTTTCTCAGAATGTTCGTCTGGTGTTGGGCACCCTCTTGGTTGGCGAGAGCGATTGAGCTCGGAAATTCGACCCGACGCTTCATATGACACTCGCTTACACGATGCCAACCCTGTGGAGTCGCCACTTCACATTTTGCGATGCCCTTCAAACATGATTGCCCGGCCGGTGACGCCCTGCATTGCGTGGAATGTTTCAATGCCCTTTCTGAAACGCCACCACTACCTGTATTGTCAGTGTAGGATCTGCTCCGGCAGGGATTGCTGTGACAATGCGCATTTCGATATCAACCTTTTGTTTGAAACATCAAGTCAACGAGTGCACTCCGACCCACCGTACGGTTTGGGGTTGGGAGGTCTCGGTTTAGCAACTCCCTGTTTAGCGGCAGGCCCTATCTAGCGATATGCCCTGCTAAGCGACCACAAATCACGTGGCACCGCCGCACTCCGGTAGTATGAGTGCTACTTCTATTGTTGACAGTTCGGTTTAGCGACCTTCCCTGAATAGTGGCCACATTTCATCGTGACACGAGGGGCCGCTAGACCGCCCCCCCTACTATGTGCAAATCACCAACCGAAGTCACCATTCAAACTACAGTTCCCCCATGTCTCCTCCTCTTGCTCATTCACTTCCTGCCGCTGCTGCATAATCCAGGAGTTCGTGAAGCTGGTCAGTGCGGAGGGTGCAGAATTTTGGGTCGACCGAAAGTGTGCCATGGTGTCGGGGACCATCAAGGCAATGCTTAGCGGTGAGAACGAAGAAGGGTGACAGGGTGTTTGGCGAGACTACTGTGGGGCGACGGGCAGGGATGGGTCGACCTCCCCGGCAGGATCTTTATGCCGTTCCCTTCGGAGAAAAGTGCGTTGAAAACGCAAGCACCGAGTCTCCAACAAGGGTTGGTGGGTTTGGCCAATCAATTTCCTTGTATTCGGTCCATTCGCCACCTCCCTCTTGATTGGTCTTGTTTTGTGGCTTTTGACCAATGCCCCGGTGTTCGTTTCTTCCGCCACTTCCTTCTCTCACCTGCACGTCGGTTGATGTTGGTTTATGTTCTTAACAGGGGGGTTCGGAGAGGCGGCATCGGGACAGGTGCACTTCGCCGAAATCTCGACACCAATATTGGAGAAGGTCATCCAGTTTGTGTACTACAAGGTGGGGGAGAGATGATGGATGGTATATTCCGCAAGCGTTACATATAATGTTTTGGCATTGCTGGGACCAGGTCGTGTCCTAAGACTCGAACAGTGCCGCTAATATTTCCATAGTTAAGTGTGCGTTAACCGTCTGGGGTTACTCAGGGCAGCGTGCACGGTAAAACCAGTGGTCTGCTGATGCGCCGTGTGTGTGGCTGACATAATGATTCACTCGAGCCACTGTCTAGCGGATGTCTTGTCTGGAACATTGCTCCAGTGTGTGAATAGTGCTTGTTTTGCTTGCCGTGGATGTTCATCCTGACATACATACACCAATGTCCTTCACCGAGAGCAACGAACGGCACACATGTTCCCCGTATTCCTCTGCAGAATGCCCTGTGTCAACTTTATCACCTCGAGAGCTTTGCTATTTTGGGGGTAGGCGAAACGAACGAGCAGCAGCCGGACGACAACATTCTTTTCTTTCAATCATTTTGTTTTCTTTTTCCGAGTGGTTTGTACCCTGTTTTTGTTTTTTTTGTTTTCTCGCGGCGTCGTATGTGCCCGGTTTTGAGACCATGGGCTCCCCATTTGTTGTGGACTATAGAGCTAATGTGAGAAACAACAACAACAACAACAACAACAACGCCATTTTGCCTTGTGCTCTTCGATACCCCAGGTGCGATACACCAACAGCGCGACCCGCATCCCAGAGTTTCATATCGAGCCGGAGCTGGCGCTGGAGTTGCTCATGGCCGCAAACTTTCTCGACTGCTGATTGGTCGATTCCCTGGCTCCCCACAAGCACGGTGCTGCTCGGGGCGCAGCCGGCGGAGTCTTTGCTATCTTGGTTTTGGAGGAGCTCACGCTTCAGAGGCGGGGAGTGCACGAGCGGTGGGCCGGCGAAGCGGTGCCGCGGTAGATATAGATAGTATTGAGTTGGGCACCACTTCACGATCCCCCAAGAGGCTCGCACCGTGTTTGGAGATGAACCGTCCTCCTTGATGGAACGGATGAATATTCGGCAGGCTGTGGACCCACCCACCAGCCACCGCCGCCGCCGCCGCCGCCCTCTCGGCACAGCAGCGCCGCCCCCCGTTCCCTCTAGTTGTGTTGGCTGTGTGCGATCGGTGAATTGTTTTGAAGTTAGCAATCGTGCCTCCAGATGTTTGCGAGGCACGGCAGGGTGTTTGTCGTGTAGATTGGACAGAGAGTAGAGCAGTATCACGAAAGCAACGGTTGTATGATTTCCTCGCGTGACGGCGCGACGTAAACGTGCGGCGTGCTTCTTCGCCAGCCGACCTTTGTGTGTTGCATGCCGTTCCATGTCGCAACTTCTGGGGCGGGATTGGGGTTTGTTTGATCGTTGTCTTTTGGTTGTTTTTTGCCAGGGCCGGTGGAGCTGGAGACGACTGAGCGGAGCTCGGATCATTCGCTCGCTCCATCGAAGTGATCGTTGTCCTAGGCACAACAATGTATATGTTTTTGCTGCTCTCTGGATTGTACTCGTAGGTATTCGTGCTCGTGTGCGTATTGGCTGTATTCTCGGGCGCGCTTTTGTCAACAAGTATATTTGATCTATCCCCCGTCTTCGCCCCCCCCCGGTCTTTGCCATCGGGGTTGGGTTTTCGTCGCTTGGCAACGACGTTGTAAAACAAGCCAATTCACTTCGTGAACTCGGTAACCATGTCGCCGGTTTTTATTTCCTCTGTTTTTTTTTGGCGGTAGACATAATGGTGGTCGAGTAGATCATGTTGTGCGGGGTGGAGAACCCTCACTCCGCGCAAGGGGGATGATCGCGTCACGTTGTGTTAAAATGGTCAAGCACCCTCGAGGCAGTTACACAGTGCTTACAACTGTCTCTGGGAGTGAATGCACAAGAAAATAAATTAAGTCATACGCAGCTATCATCCGTACGCAAGTACAAGATGCCGAACACCCTTAGCAGGATGCAGCGCACCCTTCATGCGACTCGCCGAATATCTCACGGCGCTTCGCGCTTGGTGATGTGAGAGCCTGGTCCGGT